CGCAGATAAAATGAAAATGGATACACATTTTTTTTAATTAATGGTGCGCGGGCCCGAGCTTAACCCAAGTTCAACTCGGGCTGGACTTGGGCTGAACAAAGGTTAAACAATTTTGAAATTTAAATTTTTAAATTTCAAATGGGCCATTTAATTTCATCTTAATTGAGAGTTAAGATTTTCCAATTGAGCACGCTGTATGAATGAAATTTGTTTAATTCCCCGCCTAATCCCTGGTAACGTTCGTTTTTAAAGACTACAACCATACAATTCAGCTCCTCCCCGACATTCAACTCCTTGTGCCTTTGAGATTTTGGCCCCTCGATCCCCATGCCGCCTGCTTCTTCCTCGCTCGATCGAAGCCAAAGAAACCGTCTCCTCTCTGCATTGAAATCCCGTACTCAACTGCTTCGCCTCCTCCCTCTCTCGGTAGATCCCGCTCCCCCAAAAACTCACGCCTACTTCGCCTCCTTCCTCTCTCGACAAATCCCGCTCCCCCTCTCTTCCTCGGCACAAAAAACTCCTAGAGTTTTCCCTCATCAAGCAAAAATGAACGACTTGAGTTTACATTACATGTCGGGATCTTAGCTATGAACATGATTTTAACCTAGATGATAGGTTTTTACATTACATCTCGGGATCTCAACTATGAACGACTTGCGTTTACATTACATCTCGGGATCTCAGCTATGAACATGATTTTAACCTAGATGATAGGTTTTTTGTTTGGACCTCAGTGTCACCTTCAATGACTAATAGGCAAAGGAGTGATCTCAACACTTACTATATATTGTTGACCTCATTTCAGTGAGGTCTTAGTCCCCTACTCCTAGAACCCAGGATCTAGCTTTAGGAATTTATTGTTGACCATCCTAGCAGACTAGTAATGGAGCTCACCTCCAATAGAACTTCGAGTCACTTTCTGTTCATTTTTGTGCAGACCTCGCATGAGTAGTCCCAAGCACTTAACTCTTAGTTGCAATGGCGAGAACTAACATGTAGAGGACCCGAAAATGAGTTCCTACAGAACTAACATGTAGAAGACCCGAAAATGAGTTCCTACAGGATCAAACAACCATAGGTGAACCCTCTTTGACTCAAACTTTCGTGAATGCCGCAATTTATGCACTCACTGCACCACACACGATGTTGACTTGAATTGGTCTGATCGTAGACAAACTTGTCTGAACGACTCCAGATGACAAAACGGACCACACCGACGCATCCGGAACGTATACTTTAGCTAGAAAGGACTCCCAAATTGCTATGGTTCCACGCATGAGCAAATAAAATAAAAATGGATACACATTTTTTAATTAGCGGGGCGCGGGCCCAGGCTCAACCCAGGTTTAACTTGGGTTCGATTCGGGCTGGACTTGGGCTGAACAAAGGTTAAACAATTTTGAAATTTAAATTTTCAAATTTCAAATGGGTCATTTAATCTTATCTTAATTGAGAGTTAAGATTTTTCAATTGAGCTCGCTGTATGAATGAAATTTGTTTAATTGCCCGCCTAATCCCTCGTAACGTTCGTTTTTGAAGACTACAAACATACAATTCGGCTCCTCCCCGACATTCAACTCCTTCTGCCTTTGAGAATTCGGCCCCTCGATCCCCATCCTCGCTCGATCGAACCCGACATTCAACTCCAACTGCTTCTTCCTCGCTCGATCGAAGCCAAAGAAATCGCCTCCTCACTGAACCAAAATCTCGTACTGAACTGCTTCGCCTCGTCCCTCTCTCGGTAGATCCCGCTCACTCAGAAACCCACGCCTACTTCGCCTCCCTCCTCTCTGACAAATCCCGCTCCCCCTCTTTTCCTCGGCAGGGTAAACTTCTTATGCTCGTTCTGGTCTCTGCACCGAAAGCATTCTCCTCTCACTCCTCTCGTTCAACTCTTGCCTTCTGCACCAGTCCCTGCCCGACTTTTATCCCCCATCCCCCGCACTGAAGCCGCTCGCATCTCCTCTCTGCCACCAAAGACCCTCATCTCGCGACAAATCCCGCTCGCCTCTCCACATTTGACATTCGGCCCTCTCCTGATCGCTCCTCCCACCTGCTTCGCCTCCCCTTCTCTCAAGCTCCTCCTCACGTCGAAATGCTCGCCTGTTTTTGTTTTGTTGTTTTGAAAATGTTGTTAAATTTAAAAAAAAACAATTTCATTCTGAGAATGTTGTTGAATTTTTGAAAAAAACTGTTTTATTTTGAAAATGTTGTTGAATTTTGAAAAATGATTTTTTTTTAAGAGATCTCACCGACGCCAAGTTTGATGTCAACCCAAGGGTAGCTCCACGATTATTTAACGCTTGGACCACGTCCGAATTTACCTTTGCAGAAACACACCGAGAAGTTGGTATGAGAATTCCGTTCAACGAAAAATTACCCATATAAATGTGCAGATGTGCATAATTAAAATTATGTCAATATTCAAGTGTATTGAATATGTACGCTAATGTATTTACATATTTAACATTCAAGCTCAATTTCACTTTTCAGATGAGAATTAACTTCAATAAGCTTATAAAGATAAAACCTAAATCATCTCACCATAAGAGCTTAATCCCCATAAATTTCATATTTGCATAAGACCATACCAAAATCAGTGTACGTGCAGCCCAAATAAATGCATCTTCAACCTATCAAAAGCGTCAAAAAATCAGGCTCAAAATTTCTTGCATATCGCATAATCCCTTGTACTTACACACCAAGTATCCAAAATTTAAGAAAGAGAAAAATCTAGGTGCTAGATATGCGAATACATGTGAATTGAGTGGCATGTATGTAAAACAAAGCTTAGGTATTAGGCATACAAGTACATATGATTGACCTACAGGTTGATTCCAAGACTTGGGTGCTGGATATGTAAATACATGAGAGTTATATGGTATGTACGTAAATTTTCCGTGATTGAAGTATTTAAATCCTCTGTGCAGATCTTCAACCTTCACTGATTCATCAATATGCATTACCCATGGATAAGTTTCTAGTAGAAAGAAGTAAGCATGCTGGGCAAGAACGAGTCCACAATTCAATTCTTCATAATTTCTTGGGTTGAGATAATAATGTAACAGTGAAATTCAAATGTTCTATTTCTATGTGGAATATTAATTCTGAAGCACGAACATAAAAAAATTACCTTTCAGTTTCAGTAATGAGTCTAAGGAGCCACAAGTGAATTGAGTGTAAGAAAATTGGAAGAAGGTGAGAAGTTACTGACATTAACAAACCTTCCACGGTAAAATGGGTCGTGATGAAGAGATACCTTACGATGGAGGAAATGGTAGTGTTATAGATTTCGCGCGAATGGAAAGTGACTGTAAGAATGGGAAGCTCTTGATGATCCCTGCAACTCACGATCCAGTCGTTGCCTTACCGGCTAGCTCCAGTCACGAATTTACCGCATGGGTCAGTTACTAGGGCGATGGACTTGAGTGAAATCGAGTGTGGAGAAGAAGAAAAGAGGTAGGTCAGGTCGAGTAGGGCTTCTTCTGCGTGCGAGAGAGAGGAGCAGGCGAGTGGAGCGTATTGTGAAAAAGGATCAGCGGAAAGTAGTGGGTCACGAGTGGCTGTTTGGTGCGCGAGAGATAGGAGCAAGCGAGCGTTTCGGCGTGAGGAGGAGGAGCTTGCGAGAAGGGGAGGCGAAGCAGGTGGGAGGAGCTATTAGGAGAGGGAGCCGAATGTCGAATGTAGAGGGGCGAGTGGGATCTGTCCCGAGATGAGGGTTTTCAGTGGCAGAGAGGAGAGGCGAGCGGCTTCGGTGCGGAGGAGAAAAGTCGAGCGCGGACTCTGATGCAGAAGGCAGGAGAGGAGGAAGAGGAGAATGCTTTTGGTGCAGAGACCAGAACGAGTCGAAGGAGTTTTCCGTGCCGAGAAAGAGAGTGGGAGCGGGATTTGTCGAGAGAGGGGGGAGGTGAAGCAGGTGTGGGTTTTTGGCTGAGTGGGATCTGCCGAGAGAGTTGAGTACGGGATTTCGGTGCAGAGAGGAGGCAGTTTCTTTGGCTTCGATCGAGCGAGGAAGAAGCAGGTGGGATGGGGATCGAGGGGCCGAATTCTCAAAGGTAGAAGGAGTTGAATGCCTGGGAGGAGCTGAATTGTATAGTCATAGCCTTCAAAAATGAATTTTACGAGTAATTAGGCGGGGAATTAAATAAATTCCATTCATACAGCGGGCTCAATTGGAAAATTTTAACTCTTAATTAAGATGAGATTAAATGACCCATTTGAAATTTGAAAATTTAAATTTCAAAATTGTTTAACCTTTGTTCAGACTGAGTCCAACCCGAATTGAACCCGAGTTGAACCTGGGTTGAGTCCAGACCCTTAATTAGTATAATTAGAAATAAAATTTAAATTGAATTTAATTAAATATAATAATTAATTTTTATTATAATAATAAAATAACTAAACTTCGTTTATTATTTTTTCTTAACAAACATAACAATCTTTTATATCTTGATAGAAGTTGTCAAATATTTTACAAGATTTATACGGATTTACTAAATCTGTTACCAAACAATTTTTAGGATTCAACCCTTTCAGAATTTAGTAAATCTTATTGACTTAAATCTAATCCGTTGCCATACAGGCTCTAAATGCCAAATCTGATATCTTGATCAATAATTACCTGCTTTGGTTGGATTAGTTCTGCTATTGAGTTCCATCCAATCAGATAAATTGTTATTTGACCAATGCTTTTTGGTTTCATGTATAACAAATACATGTAAATGTTAATTTTTTGCGTTTTTTTAGTTGGATATTGGCTTGTATCTGCAGTTCCGTTTACGTTGCTTTGGTAATTCAATTTATTATTACTGTTGCTTTCAATGAGCGAACTCACTAGTTTTTGATGCTTTACATTCCACTGAATATGACCATGTGAATATTCCCCTTCTTATGCTTTCACATATGGGAAAGTCTTACAAGTTAAAACTTATTTAGTGCTTAAACAGCTGTTTTATAATTTTTTACTTGATGTTAAAAAGTCGCAGTTTGTATTGTTTCAGTTTCTGGGACTACCAGAGAGGTTCATGCCCTTGAGGAGGAACTTCTACCTGTCAGGCATATCGCCAAAAGGTGGAAAACAATTATATGAACTTTTATTTTACCAATTTGTAGTTGCATTTAAACGAAACACCTGATCTTGCTATCTGCTGCTCAGAATTAAGGGTAATAGTCCTAATGACATCTTGTAGTCATTTTTTATTTTTGAAAGCTGAAGTCTTGCTCCCTGTCTAACTCTCTCCCACTCCGGCTCCGTTTGGAAGGACTTTGGGAGCGCGTTGCAGGGAGCGGCCGCGAAGTTATGCCGTTTGGGAGCGCGTCAGGGCATGGTCGTCCCGCGTTGGAGGTCTAACTTTTTACGGATCGACCCCCGTCGTTCGACTTTCGTCCCCGCCGTTCGCCGTTCGACCTTCGACCTTCGTCTCCGCCATCTCACCTTCGATCTTCATCCCGATCTTCGTTCCGAGGGTTGGTTTTTTAAGGATCGAACCCTGCTTTTGCTCTTTTGTCTCTTCTTCCTCACCACTCCGCAGGTAAACGAAAGCACGAGTCTAATGTCTACTCAGTGCCCGCTTTCCTCTCTGCGCCTCAAAAAATGAGAGAAATTATTAGGTGTGATTAGGGCATTTTCTAAGAGAGATTGATTGCCTTCTCCTCGCAGCTTACTCCCGAACGTCGGTACACTCTGCACTGCAGAATCTTACTTTCTTTCCCTTCAGTTCCAGAAGCCAATGGTTTTAATTTCTGCTCTCAAGTCTGTGGTTTTCAATTGCGTTTTGCCTGCATTCAAGGATATTGAGGCTTTAAACTTGTATCATGATATAAAAAAGATCAATATTTGAATGCTGAGACATGCCAAGATATTTATTAGTGTAATTTACGTTAGTTATATGTGACACTATTTGATGAATTTAAACTTCTAAAGTATCAAATACAATGTTATGACAGTTCTGTAAACAACTTTACTAAACAAGGGCGTAATGGACATTTACTGACAATGAAATTTAAGTAAATTTTTCTTTCATAGAAGTTGTTGCAGCAATTAAAATTTTTTTTGGTTCTTATCATTGATGCAATTTGAAGTTGATTTTACTTCATTATGATTTTCTCATTTTAATTCATCATCATTTTGAATTTATATTTCTGAATTATTAAATAAATGGGTGTCACAGTTCTGTTTAAAATAAATTAACTAAATAGGGGCAGAATGATCAATTTTCTAAAAACAATTACTCCACAACTATTTTCACACAGCTGCAACAAACAGTCTGCTAGCTTCCCCGCAGTAGCTTCCTGAGCAGCGCAGCTGCAGCTGTGCAAAACAGAGCCTTCATCTCTGTAATTCTCTCATGCTTTTTCTCTCTAAATGGAGAAAAAAGAAAAAGGAAAAAAAAGGAAAAAAAATCAAACTGGAAGAAGTGAAGAAAAAAAGAATGAAAGAAGAAAAATACTTATATATTTCATTCTCTCGTCGCAAGTTTGACTTTATGGTCTCGTTACTTCCCAATTATACTGCAAAGTAGCTCATCCCAACAAACAGACAACTAGTTTCCCCGCAGCAGCTTCCTGGGACAGCGTAGCTGCAGCTGCGCCAAACAGAGCTTTCATCTCTATCATTCTGTCTTTCTTTTTCTCTCTAAATGGAGAAAAGAAGAAAAAAGAAAAAAGAAGGAAAAAATTAAACTGTAAGAAGTGAAGAAAAAAAGAATGAAAGAAGAAAAATACTTATATATTTCATTCTCTCGTCGCAAGTTTGACTTTATTGTCTCGTTACTTCCCAATTATACTGCAAAGTAACTCATCTCAATGTTTAAGTGCTCACACGATTCAACTTTGTAATTATAAGTTGCATGCTTATTTTTTTTTGTACAGAACTCATACATGCGTTTTTTTACACGATAGTTATGTGGAAAGGAGAAAACTCATGTGTCTTTCTTGCATATTTTGAATAGAAGATTTGTGCTGCCTAAAGGAAAATTACCAAACATGTTTTTCTTGACTAATAAGTGAAGGAATATCCTTATTGCATGGAGATGGTTCCCTAGTTTGAACTTTGATTGGAGGAGTAACCTCATGCCATAACTTGTCCATCATTAGGGCTATCAAAAAGCTTGTCGATCATAAACAGCTCGTATTCGGCTCGATAAGTAGTTCGAGTTTGATTCGTTTGTTAAACAAACGAGTCGAACACTAACAAATTTTTTTTGTTCGAATTATAAATGAACCAAACACAAACAAAAAGTTATTTGTTCGTGTTCGATTCGTTTTGGTTCAAAACAAATAAATAATTAAAAATATCATTATAATATGTTTATATTAAAATTTTATGATATATTTAATAGAAAATTTTAAAATTGTAAATTTCATAAAAATATTATTAAAAAAATTTAGTATTGAATGTCTTAAAATTTTCGCAATCATTGGATGAGAGAAATCTCATGATATAAGTGATAAAATAAACCCTAATTCTATTATTTCAGTCGCGCTTTTCAAATTATTCTTTTATGTCATTCTTCGTTTCTCATTTACAAACATAACATAATTATGAGGTTGCTTTTATAAGTTTGATTTATATGCATCTTATTATAAATATGTGACTCTTCTTTGAACTGCAAATGCATAAATATTGAAGTGAATGTTGATGCATTAACAAATGTTGCACTTAATTCATAATTGACTGTTGGTTTATTAACAATTGTTGCAGTTGCTTTATTTATATACATAACATAGGTGCTTGCTGATTCATAAATATTGAAGTGGTTGTTGATACATACATAACATGAATTGGAGCTTGTAATGAACTTGATTAAAAAAAAAATATTACAGTCAATAGACCGACTCTTATAACATTTTTAAAAGTTTAAAACAGGGGTTGGTTCATTAGTAAATGTTGTTTTATCATGTAAACAATAAATATCTGGCAATTTTTTTATTTGTATATGTAAATAATACTTGTGTTAGCAAGATTTTAGTCCCTATTGATTCTTATGTCTGACCATTGTTTCTGTGTTTGACAAACGACAACAATGATTATATTTATAATATGGATCCTCTTGCAGTTACCAACTTATTTTTTCATTACAATTTTATGTTGTGAAATTGAATGAAATATCAAATGATAATTACAGAAGTGGTACATGAATTGTGTTATTGCTGATTTCATATGTGCACCATGTGGTGCAATTTCATGTTGTCAAATTTGATATTCTTTTTCTTTATGTCAATTGCTAACATATTTTCTTTTTATTGAATAAGATTGATGATATTTCTAACATATATACATTTAGTTTTTGTCATGCTAGTGGATTTGCCTCATTGAGATGTTTTATTATCTAGCATTTGCATAAGTTTATTTATTGTTGTTTACACATATCCATGAATGAAATCTCATTTGATATTATATTTTTATGTTTAGTTATTTACAATGTCAACATTTGAACAATCTCAATCTGCATCAACTGATGAACGATTACCAATTGCAATATAAGATGAAATTGATAGTTCTCATATTGTGCCTCAATATGTAAAGTAACTTTTGGAAGTACTAGTACTAAAATGCAAGCTAAGAAAGACAGAAAGAGAAAATCAACTGTCTGGGAGTATATTGTAGATATTAAATCCAATTCCAAGGGAGTTGAAGTATCGTTTGCTCAATACATTTGTTGTGAGAAAAAAATCCACAAACAAAAATCAGGCACAATCTCATAATTTCTTAGACACATTAAGGAATGTGATAAGATAAAAATAAATAGTCGATAACTAGTTGACTTATCTGACAAAATATAGAAGAATATGAACTTCTTACCTTTTTGAAGTTGACATTGAATCAAATATTTCTTATTTTCTATGATCTCAAAAATTATGATAAACAACTCATAAGAGAGGCATGTGCAAAGATGATGATTATACATATGAGTATCTATTCATGATTGTTCAATATATTTGGTTCAATATATCATTGAAAATATTGAATCCTAATTTTAAAAGTATTTCAAGGAACATCATAAAAAATGATTGCATGAAGGTTTATATGATTGTGGGAAAGAAAAACTTAAATGATGCCTTAAAGATGTTCACATGGTGTCTTTTACAACAGATTGTTGGACCTCTAATCATACTAACATATATGTGCTTAAATGCCTTTTATATCGATGAAACGTTGAAATTAAAAAATGTTATTATCAATTTTATTGAGTTAGAGCTTCCACATACGAAAATTTACATATGTTATATTATCTGTGAATATTTGTTGGAGTGGAAGCTACAAGACAAAATCTCCACAATTATCCTCAATACAATAATGTGGAGATTGTCTTGTAAACAAATTTTAATTATGAGGAAAGTTGCACTTTCATTATTTTTTTTTATGTGAGATATTGCACACATATCCTCAATATAATGGTTCAAGATAGATTAAAGAAGGTTCATGAAATCATCAAAAATATCAATCAGTGATTTATTTGAAAAACTCATTTGCGAGATTGCATAAGTTATAGAAGTGACAAAACAATTAAGAGTTCTAAATATAAGATCATTATCTATTGATGTCTCAACTTTCAATATATTAGAGTTTATATTTATTTATCGCAATGTTTTCCATCACTATGTATTTAGAGATGCTAACTGCAAATGATTGCCGGTTAATTCAGATTGGTTGAAATATGAGAAAATTAAAAAATTTCTTTCAGTCTTTATAATCCCTGATGCTCTATATCCTACTTTAAATTTATTTTTATCCACAATTATGCATGTTAAAAAGATTTTGATAGAAAAATCATTATTAAAAGATGATTATATGGTAAATATGGCTGAGTATGCAAATTAAATTCAACAAATATTGAGGGAAATATAATCTTCTGACGTTTATTGTAGCAATTTTAGACCCTAGATTGAAACTCAAATTTATTAATTACACATTCTCGAAGATATTTTAACATGATGAGGTTGATCAAAATCTTAAATAAATTCAAGTTGCCTTATGGGAAATATATCAAATTATGTTGTTACTTGCATATCTTCTAGTGGTACACATGTAATGTTTCAAATCAGAGATCATTATTTGCAGTTCATGC